TAGTACTGAAGTTGGATGTGTTACGTGTGACCAGAATGTCGAGAAACGGAAGAGAATTGCAAGTCTCAAGTTCAAAAGTGAACTGAATAGCAGGATCAATAGAATTCATTGTTGAAAGAACTCTATTTAAATCATCTTTATTACCTTCAAACAGGGTAAAAGTATCGTCTACGTAGCGGAACCATGCCGGGAAGTTTAAAGTTTCAAACAATTTTGATTCATAATAATGCATGTAGATATCAGCCAGGATGGGACTGAGGGAGCTTCCCATGGCTAATCCCTCAGTTTGCTTGTAATATTTATTTTGGAAAACAAAATGTGTTTGTTTCAAACAGAGTTGAGTGAGAGAAATTAGCTCATCAATTTCGATGCAAGAGAAATGAAATTCGCGAAGTCTGGTTTCTAGACATCTTAATGCACCCTCCACTGGGACATTGGTGAATAATGATTTTACATCAAAAAAACCCCATGAGTAAATTACGAGGAGAATGTTTTTAACCTTTTTTACAAACTCTATTGAATTTATGTGTGAATTATTTTATGGTGTAAATGTTATTGTCTAATAGAGTGGAAAATCTAGAAACTAAATATTTAGCTAATGGATACTCTCTAAATACTATAAATAAAATAATGGATACTCTCGAGGCAGTACCTAAATTTGATACAATAGGGCGGAAAGGAATACCACTTTTATGAATTTTGGGAAGAGCATATAATCTGGCAAACAATTCGCAAACAGATGGATAAGCGAATGTTTTTAAGTTGCTTGAAATGATTTGCGAAGATTTGATCGCAGTTTTATTTTGGATAAGTCCGAAGGTGAAGGATCTTTAGGGATCGGATTATATGGTCCTTTGTTTAGAGTTTAGTGACACCATCGATGTAGTGTTCTTATCCATGACGACTATCTGGCCACCTTTGTCGGCTTTGAATGACAATATCCGGGTTAGAATGAATCTCGCGCATTGTAGCTCTTTCTCTCGCAGTTAGATTTGGTTTCAAAGGTTTATTATTGAATTATTCTTATCCAGGCTTATTCTTGTCCAGGCTTTCTTATCTTATCTAAACATTATTTCCTATCTTGTTCATTTGCGGTTTTGCAGCTGAAGATGATGGTTCGGTAAAACCATCGAAACTAGTCCTGTGAAAATTTTGTGAATTAACGTTGATTTTTGTTGTTTGACTTCTGAATCAATATTTATTCGGCGTGTTATTGTGCCTTAATTAAGAGCTTATCATATTTTGTTTTGTTTACAAACAAAATGAAAAATGTCAGAAAAATGAAAAAAAGTCAGAAAAATGAAACTGCATAATTTTTTATAGTATGTACTTTTCCACATCATTTTGCTTTAAAGAAAGATTAAATAATAGCTAATGTAATGTACCTTTCCCTGCAAAAAATGCCCCATAGAAACCAGTAAAAGTTTTTATGGGTACCCATAAGATCTCATGGGTTTTTATTGACTTTTACTGGTTTTTGTTGGTCTCTGTGGGTTTTTCTTACTAGTTTGTTTCAAAATGCCCAATAAAACTTTCTACTGGTAGCTATAGAATTTTTTTTGGTCCCTGCTGACTTTTTCTGATTTCTGCTGATCTCTGTGGGTTTTTCTTACTTGTATCAATTGACACACATACAACCAACATCAATGTCAGAACTTCCTACTGGTTTGTATTGGTTTATATTGACGTTTACTGGTTTTCTTACTGGTATCAATTTATTAAATCTTCTGTTGGTTTATATGGGTTTATGATATGGGTTTATTTTTCTATCTGACGTTAATAGATTTCTTGTAAACAATAAAATTAATAGAATGAAAATATGATCTCTTTAAGACCATCAGAGTAACCTGGAAACGCAGGTGGTCGTTTTAGAGAGGGTTTTTGCTAAATAGGCTTATTGATTTAATTTAAAAAATTTTTTCGGAGACATAACAGTAATCATATACACCACACAAAACGAGGTCTCTCTAAGGCGACCAGCAGCAAATAAAAATCCATCTTTGCAAGTGGTCACCTTAGAAAGGTGATGCTCAATACGAATATATACTCACGTTCTCAGAAATACGTTTATCTTTTAGAGGTGGTCGTCTTAGGAAGGTTGCACCTACGAAATGAATATCTCTCTAAGGCGACCAGTCCACACTTGCATAATTTTGTCTTTGTGAATGGTCGTCTTACAGAGGGAATGTTCAATACCAAAATGTACTTATGTTTTCAGAAATACTGGTCTCTTTCAGAGAAACGGTCATCTTAAATGGACTGGTCTTTGGATGACCGGCTTTGCCGAATACACACACATACGCACTTGCATTTCTGATGTTACAAATGAACACCGGTATCAACCAACATCTCATTAACGAAACCAAGTTCATTCACAATCGCAAAACTATTTTCTCCGTGTTAAGGCTGACGTGAGGGAAAAAATTCCCCTCCCTTCTCCGCTCTCAGGAGAAGTTTCCCAAACAAGCAATATGGCGCCGTTCTAGTTATTGTCGTGCGATGTTTGCGTTATTTTCTTCGTGGATGTAGTAATGCAATATATACTAATTTACTATATTACAAATTTTAATATATTTTACTGTTTAGAAATTAGTAATAAATAATAAAATACCAGCACTGACTGTGAATATGAAAGCAAATACCACTAAAGCCATGCACGTGTAATCGTGTCTAAAGTTTGAGAGAACTTTGCTGATAGCTGACTAGTTCCGAAATGGAGTTTCTGTGCGTGAAATTGATTTTCCATCTTTACTTTTATCCTAAAAAGCAATGTGCTCAAAGACAGTGCTTAAATTGCGCCGGAGCCCACCGGAGAGCGGCTTCGGTACTTCTCAGTTTTTAAGATAAATTACAATTCTAGCCGGAGCGCACCGGAGCCCTAAATAAAAAGTCTGCGGCACTTCTTTTATGTAATTGAATAACAATTTCGGTAAAATTTTATCTCGAATATTTTATTTTTAGCAATAAAATTATATTAAAAATCGCTTATTAAATTTTAATTTATCTCTTTACACTTAATTTAATTACTTTAATCTTTAATTATTTAATTATTTCAATAAATAATAATTAATTAATGATCCAATAATTAACAATTAAATTATAATTTATTAACTATATTATAATTATTCATTAAATAACAATTAATAAACTTTAATTAAATAGCTATTTATTAATTGATAATGACTATTTAATTTTAAAATTATTAATAAGTTTAATAGTCATTTTATTTATTTATTTGCTCTTGTTCCTCTTTGCTGACGGTCTTCTAGTGGGCTCTGGCACTTCTAATTTTAGAAATTAAGCCCTGCTTAAAGACTGAAAAGTGATAATTTCAGATTTGATAATTTGGTTCAGGTTGTTTAGATCAAATGCACAAATATAGTTTTTGCATTCTACTGAAACTGTACTTTTGAAAATTTGTTTTTTTTTATTACAGTTTATAAATATTTTTAAAGCTTTTCATGTAGATGCTTTATCATTTTAATATTGTATACTAATAAATTTGAGCATACCTTACTTAAAATTGATCTTGCATGACTCAATTTTGAATTTTTCCACTAATGTGATGTGGCCGAGAAAAAAGAATGTTTTTTATGTCTTAAAAAATGGACTAATTTTATTTCGCGAGCAAAAAAAAAAATGCAAGTTTTATTAATGAAGTAAACATTGAAATATTTAATGCTTTTGTTACATATTGAATATGGTAGGCAAGACATATAAGCTTAAAGAATCTTGTTTCCATTACTAAAATTATGTGAAAATTTAGATGATCCTACATTGTTTTTTCTTCTTGGTCTATTTTTCTTTACAAGTATGAGATTAAAACCGCATTTTTACATTAAATATTTTGTGCTATTTTGTTAATACACATATAATCATTTTTATGCATACCTTAATTTTCATTATTATTAGTTTGATGAAGAAAATTTAAAATGGTTTTTCTTATAAATTTCTTTTCAAATAGAAATAGATTTGTGAATAAGATTTATGTAATATTAAATGTACTAGTCTTAGGAGTATAAAAATTGAATTATTTATTTGAAAAAAATTACAGGGTTCTACGGGACATTTTTAGCAGGTTTAGTCGTGGGCTTATAAATTATGGAAGCTAGAAATGTTATTCTATTTTCCCATTAATTATGATACTACAATCTCTGTTTGTCGTAGTGAGTAAAAAAAAGTAAAAAAGTACTACTTTACTTTAGTAAATTAAGACTACCACAGTGTAACTAGAGGAGAAGTCGCTGCAGCGACTGCAAACGATATTTCAGGGTGTTAGTGATTCAGTGCAAACCAACGTTGAAAATCGCTTTCATGTATGATGAAATGCGCGCATTTAATGACACACATAGAATCATTGCAATATTTTTCAAATCCTAATTATTTTCATATTTTTATCAATTGCAATAAAAATACTTTTGAGCATATTCCATAAGCACGTGAATTACTACTGAGGCCTACTGCTGTTTTTAGAGCCTATACTACAGCTCTTAATAAGCATTTCTGTCCTTACGATAAATCATTGATGCAAGCTATTAACTGCCCACTCTCTTCAACCATTACCGAATTCGAGTTCCAGCAAGCATAACTGTTTATTGTAGTTCAGAGTGCATTTAAAAGGGTCCTGTTCTTAGCCTACGCGTGCGAAATGTTAGATTAAACCAATGCAGTACTTAGATAACTATTTAGCGTCATAAAAAGTCCGGAAATGATTTCCTTTTGCATTCTAGAATTAAATTGCTCAGCAGAAGCCCGCAATGGCTGAAGTTCAGTATCTTCAGATGGAACAGTCAGTCTGTCTAAAAAAAGTGATCCCCCTGTCGTGTATTTTACACCTGCGAAGAGTAATCTAAACTGCATTGAAACTTAAAACTCGTTGTAAAGTTAACCTAGCAGAACTTAACTTTAAAAAAATGGTTTTGCTGGCCTTTTCTCTTCTTTTTTGTCAATTTTCGAGTTCGTACGTACCAGTGCCTCTGACTGTAACCTTTATCTCACAGGGCTCCTGCCCAAAAAGTACAAGAGGAATTTCTTCTTTTGGAGAAAAAATGGCTCCTCACTCCCATTCGTGGTGCGGAGGAGTGAGGAGATTTTAGCTGATGTCCGAGCCAATAGCAGTATTTCGTCCGATGGCAGCATAAGTGGAGACAGTCTTACGTACGTATATTCTAATTTACTTAAGTATAGGTTAAATAAGCTAATTTTCATTGTTAGACTACTACCATAAATGTCAATGATTTTTCATTCAAAATAATCCCAGATAATGAAAAGCTCTACAAAAAAATGTTATTGGCCAACATTATTAAAAAGATTAAGTGGCTTCTTAAAATTCTATTATATGCCGTCTACTCCGGCGCATAAAGCGCGCCTGTGTGTAACGCGTACCTGTAATTTTAAACTATTTTTTTTTTAAATTTTAGGTATATTCGCCGTATCACACGCACTTCCTTTTACCAATAAATCTTAAAGAAAAATCTTCGAAGCCCTTATCTTTTGAAGTCATTCATTCGCAGATTTTCCCAGGCTTTCGAACAATATTCGAACTGAATTGACAAGCGATAAGGGGAATAATACGTGTGTAGGGGGAAATGCTTGAGAAATAAACAATTCTGCAAAGAGGGTGGGTTGTATTCATTGCAGATGTGCACAAGAATATTATTCTAAGGCTTCGAGGAAAGGGGGCAGAGCTTGAGGTAAGAATGCCCTTCCAACACGAATAAATTCCCGGGATTAGGCGTCAGGTGCTTCCTCTTTCTGTAGTCATTTGAAGTAGTGATTTTGAAGTGAATATCGAAATAAATTAGTAAATCACATTTGCTTTAATTGAAATGCAGTTGACTTGGTGTTTCTTTTAGTACTAAACATGGCTTCTGCGAAACGAAACAATACACTACTGGTGTCAAATGCAAAGTCATTCAGTTTGCAAATCGTGCTGCAGCAAAGGTGTCTGGTATTGGTTCAAGATGGAACGAATTGCGATTATTTATTTATGGATCAGAGTAACATTGATGGTGGAAATGAAGCAGAATTCGATGATGTGCCTGAAGATGCAAAGGAAAACGAAAAAAAACTAATTTTTGTATGCTGATTTTTTCCTTATTTTTACTCTGTCATTTTTATATCTAGTGTGTAACGCGTGCACGTAAATTTCAATCTCACTTTCTGAAATAACTTTTGCTATTTTAAATAAATTTTTGCAGAACAAGACAAATATTGTTATCGAATTCATATTACCACTTATAATTTATTTCAAATAGCAAATGTCTATAAGTGGTAATTCATATTACCACTTATAGACAAATATTGTTATCGAATGCATATTACCACTTATAAATAATTATAATTTATTTTCATTAGACGTATTTATACAGGCAATACATTTGACAGGAAAGTATACGAATCTGAGTATTGTATTTTTTTATTATTATTATTATTATTTAGAGCTCGGTTCAGTATCTGGTTTACTCATAGAAAATTTTAAAACTGAGGTAACCGTCTTTCGACTTCCAGATTAACAGTTTCCAGCACCTAAAATCTTACCAGCAATGAAGAAGACTTCAAAACTTCTGCAATTCACTTCAGCTATAAACTTGTTTGATGCTGCACAACCCGCTTTGTATTTGTTACTAAGCTGTGACGCTTCAAATTGATTACTCCCAGCGGTGTTGCATTCTAACCTATTACTTTAAAGCATAATAAAACCTAATCAAATAATATCTTCATAAAACGAGCACAACTTTCATATTTGACATGGATATTTGCACCCTTTTCAATTCCTTTTATCACTCAAATAATAAAATTTACCTGTGAACGTACGAAAATTCAAATTTCGTAAGGTTGATGAAGGTTTCGGCATTTAATTCCTGATAAGTAATTCTTATATTCGTTGATCTAACAAAGTAAAAAAAGGCAATAAAAAAGTATTTTTACTTTTCTTATCTTCATTTAATAAATAACACTCAATTAATAAACAAGAGTTTCTTTTTTCGAAAATTATCGTAAAACTAAAAAAGTGTTTACGAAACGTTACTATACATTGCATGAAGCGTATATACATGTACTTAATGTACAATAAATACGCACATTAATTTGACAACAGAAGTTTCTGATGTGATTTTTATAAAAGTATCATACACTGTCTAAAAATTGCAGATACAGAGACCTAACCGGTTTTCCAAAACATTTTTATGACTGAAATGATTTTTTTGGTAATTTAGAAGACGGTCGTTAGTAGCTAGGTAATCATAACAGTGTGACAATCCATTATTGGATATTCGTGAGTTTTTGCTTTTTGCATCATACTGTACTGAACATGTTTCATTCCTGCACTTTACAGACGGGGACCTCGCCTACCTCCGGAGGTCGCAGAAGCTTCGAGTTTCGTGGAAAATTTAGGACCAGGGCAGGTAGTGGGAAGGCAAGCACTGGTCTCCCTCTCCCTGGGTGACGTCGAACTGCGAATCTGCAGACGCAAGAAAGAACTTGAAGTGGACGTCATACGGGCAAGAGGGTTGAAAGCCGAGCTAGGCTCAAAGAGTAGCCTTCCAGGTGAGTACATTCAATTCCCGACGAACGCTTAGCAAAGTGCTTGGCCGTTCAGAGAGGAAAGTCTAAAAATGTTTTTAGATAAAAAATAAATAAAATAAAATAGAAGTAAAATTGAAAACAACCAGCTGTTCCACAAACGCAGCCTCTGAACGCACTCCTTAAATATCTATCTCCAATTCTTTATGCCAAAAATCATCTAGTTTTTCATACTTCGCCAGATTCAAATATACCCACTCCGCTTTTCACTCACATCCCAGTCATCAATTTATTTTAAATCTCTTACGGTACATGAAAGGTGTATAAGTTATTCTAAACCTGAAATAAGCAATTACAAGACGAAAATAATGCTATAGAGTAATATGGTCCAAGATTTTCTTTGGAATTCCTTTTTACTATTACAAAACTTCCAACACAAAATGATCTTTCAAAACAAATAGGCATTTATTCTCTGTCATTGCTATTAAGATACTGAGTTTTAATCAGTTACTTATGTATAAATTTTGAAATCCGATCTTTTATCATCAGTGCAGGAAGCTTACCTTGTAGAGACATCATGTATTTTTCTGGAAGCAGGAAAGATGAAAAATGAGCAATGCCTTCGCCGTTAATCGAACCACGGACCACGGATACGCGTCCCGCGTGCAGACCACCACACCGCGAAGGCGGCAGAAAACCTTATCTTGCTACCAAAAAGCAGGTTTTTATCTAAGCGGCCAAATTTCTTATTTCCCAGTCCCTACTCGAATCTTATTCGCTTTCTTATTCTCTCTAGCATATAGATCCAACTGTGAATTCTGTACAATATCTGAATTCCTTAAAACCATTAAAACAAGGTAAAACATATTAAAAAAATACTTACATATTATCATAACCCTTTTAGTAGAAATTGCCAAAATCTCAGACTGCCCCAAACTCTGTAAGCACGCACAGCCTTTCAACATTTCTAATAACCGACGTTGCCAGTTTTGTATCGTTCTTTTTTATCATTCTTCCAAATTCTAAAGGTTTATGTAGAAACGGCATGACATTTTGTTTATTATAAACTTTTCATCATTCATGGTGTTTGTAGCCGTGGTGAAAATTTTCTGATCAGTTTTTAAACTCCATCTATCAAGATGCTGGAAATCAAATTTTGAATAGACATTCTCTGTCGATTGCTGTTGTTGCTGCTGTCTTGTCCGTGAATTTCGTGGAAGAATGTTTGCCAGAACCTTAAGGAGGTATGACTTCAATTTCCACCCCAATTTTGAGAGAGAGCAACTCGGGGGGGGCCGAAGGTCTCCCTTCCCTCTCTTCTACCACCAGTCCACACGAGAGGACTTTCGCCATATATTTCCCCCATGCCGCAAAGACACTACATATTTACAAACATCCATGCCTTCTCCGAGATTCGAAACCAGGCCCAAAGAACGTCTATATACACTGCTAAAAAAAAAAAATGGGACAGTGCTATATCTCCCGTTCTACTGGGGTGATTCACGAAATTCAAACTGCGTTCTTCATGTCTCGAAAGCGCGACTTAGGATATATTAGATTTATGCATAGCACTATGCTCTAACATAGGTATTTTGACACAAAACTCCGGACTTTTTCTGGAAATAACATACGATTTTGTTTTCCATATTTCGAATTCTTACGAACTCAAATTATGCCAGAATGCCAAGTTTTGTAAAAATCGTACGAGTAGTTTTTGAATATTAGCTCTCAAAATTTTAGCTCCTCAATGTTAATTGAATTTGGCAAATATTTATTTATGTCTCTTTTTTTTATTAAACTTTTTTGATTTTTTCTCTCACATTTCGAAATTTAGTTTCATTCCAAATAAAATTTACCCATTTTTTGTGTTTTATTTTTTAAATTTCTATTTTTAAATAATTTTTATAAATTTTTCGAAAAAATTTTGAATTATAACCTATAAAATTTTTACCATCATCTTAAAGTAGGTATATTTTTTAAGCATATCTGCAAAAAATTAGACTTTTTTATTCAAAATTTTCTAAGATATACACAAATTTACATATTTTCGCGTTTTGAAATTGGCATCTTTTTTTGAGCGATAGTAACGCCAAATGTGCTCTATGGATTTTTGTTACACTGTATTGCCAAAGCTATTTTTAACCTTAAATTTCAAGTAAAATTTTACGGAGAATTAATTATATGACATTTTTTCCTCAATGATGCGTAATAAATATTTATTAATACTATATGAAAAGCTATTTTTCTTTAATTTTAGATGATATTATTCAAATTTTTAACTATTTTTTTAAAATTTCTCTCCTATCTTTTTTTTTTTTTTTTTTTTTTAAAAAAAATAAGAGTAAATTTTTACCTTCGCGCGTTTTATCGTCTGCTACTTTACTTCGTTTAAATCGAATTGTCTAAAAGTGAGAATTTTCGTTTGATGTTTATTTGAATTTTATGACATTAACTGCACAATTTATTTCTAAACAAACTGATGCTTTTGATGTGGCTGAAAGAGCGGCTGGTACTATCATCCATATTTTTAAAGCACAGTATATTTTTATAGAAACATAAGATTTAGAATAATCATTTTTATCAAAGTCAAATTATGATATAAATATACAACCCTCTAGAGACTGAATTAATGGAAGTTCAATGGTTATGTAGAAATGATCTGCAGCTACTTAATCGCTGGATAAGTCAGCAGATTCCGTGGACAAGTAAGAATAATTATATAAACGACACCCACAATTCTGAATTCAATTAACAACGAGGATACGATATTTATTAAATGAATTCAAGAAGTTTTAAAACATAAAAGATCAACTCATTTTTATCCTAAAATGTATTTTTGTGCGTAGCGTATTTTCCATTATTCTAATTTAAAATTCTAATAATTCTTAAAATTCTAATTTAGAATGTTATAATTTAATCAAGAATCTAATTTAATCAAGAACTGATTCCTAATCATCAGCAATATAATAAGTAATTATTACGGTTATTAATAAATCCTTCTTATAAAGTAATTGCAAATATTTCAAAAAACTTTCTGTCTGAATGCAAATATTTTTCTGTGCAAGAATGCAAATATTTTTCTGTGCAAATATTTTTAATTTTATATTAATCAAGATTGCACACGATATTATTTATTTGCACTTAAATTCTTAACGTCAGTTCTAGTAGAAGTTACAAATCAATTATATTTAATTAAGGATTGGATTGGATTATTTAATTATGGCAAAGCACACGAGGGCTATCTGCCTAAAGGGAAGGATGCCTTCGTGGAGGACTTTCTAAGGAAAACTGGCTCGTATACACGTTACACATCGGGAAAACCACGAAAACACCCATGCAACCAACCCGTTCGCGGGATTCGAACCTCGGACTGAACTACCAGTGATCAGCGTCTTTACCGCTCGGCCGTTTGTGGGCCTTTATGAAATGGAAGGCGATAACTTTATTTAAAATGATTGTCAGAAATATCAAAATGTTTCGAAAAGTTGGATACTTTTTAATATACTTTCAGAATGCTTAAAGAAAAAGAGAAGAAAAATAAATTTTTTCGTAAAATTTAGTATTTGTATTTTTTTTTAATTTAAAACTTTTCAATGTTATGATATTTGATTCTTGCGATTTCAAAATAAAATATTTGACTAAAATATGAATAACATTTAAGAAACCAAATGTACGATAAAACTGTGTAAAGCAATGGGCACAATGATAAAAACTGTTTAAAGCAGTGTATGCAGTCATCCTAAGTTAAATGTTCGGTTATACATCTCTCTTATTTATACATATCTTTTCTGAACGGAACATTGAAAGGCGTGTAAAACTGTGCTTTACTATATTTTCTCTTTTAATATAGTATGCAGTTTTCAAACTCATCGTAGTCTGGGTTACAAAGTATTCTTCCGAAAGAAACGCAGTTCAAATAAATAAAATTAAATTCTGGAAAATTGATATTAATAAATATATTTAAAATGCTCAGTTCGAAGGAATAAATAGAAAATTTTTAAAACATTATCTGAAGAGACAATTGCAAACACAACAATTAAAATAAAAGTATAAAAATTTAAAAATTACCTAAAATAATAACTATGACGAAAAATATATAAAGAAAACTATTTGAAAAAAAATAAACGCTGCACCTTTATTTACACAGTTCGAATAGGTAAACAGAATTTTTAAAACAGTTATTTGAAAAAAAAAACGTGCAACTTTAACAGTTAAAATGAAATTCGAAAAAGGAAAAAATACTTAAAATAAAAGTTATAATTAAAAAATATAATATAAAAAATATAATTTGGAAAAAGGAACGATGGTGACTTTTTTTCCTCTCACGGGAAGGAAACTAGGTTGCCATATATTAAGAAGTTCGCCAAGTGAAGTATTCTTGGCGCAAACTGACAAAAAGTGCCAACATAAATTTGTGAATTTCTCCGTAAATTTTGCTCCAAATTTTACAAAATTTCATATTTAGGCGTAATTTGAGTCGTAGAATCAAAATATGTAAAAAAATTGGTATGTTACTTCAGAAAAAGTCCGATTTTGTGTCAAAATACCTATGTTAGAATAGTGCTATATATAAATCTATTATCTATCCTAAGTCGCGCTTCGAGACTTGAAGAACGAAATTTGAATTTTGTCAATCGGCCCAGTAGATCGGGAGATATAGGACTGTCCTTTTTTTTTTTTTTTTTTTTTTTTTAGCAGTGTACATATTCTTTGCCCTTCGCTACCGCAGTAGACTCCCTTAACCACTATACCGTCTAGGCGACATTCTTTGTGGATGGCAATATAATGTGGCGAACACCGTGTGTATTTTTTTTTTTAAATTCGATTTAAAATTTTTTTTATTTAATTTTGAAACAATATTTTCCCACATATCTTTGTTTAATGAATAAACCAGTGACCTCAGAAATTTACCGTTTGCACCATCAGATAGAACGGAAAAAAATGTTTCAAATGAAATTTGTATAATGCATCCTTTTGAAATTTCAGTACTAAAAATATTTTAGTGGCAAAGTTTTAAAATTTTTACAAATTCTAAAACAAATCCGTCGTCCTTCTTTTAAAACAACAGTAATAAAAAATAGTAATTAAACGATTTTTGACAGTTTTAAAGAATTTGCTGCAATGCAATACAAAATACAGTACAATATGAAATAGAATTTATAGAGTTGAATCTTCTTTGTTAACATAAAATAGCATCAAACTTATGCTTACAGGCAATCGCCTACAGACGTTAAGCAAATTATCGCTGTGTCTGAAATGAACTACAATCTTGAAAAAGTTGAAAACAAATATTTTTGGATCTCGGATCTAAAATTTGGTAATGTGTTTCTATGAAGACGGCGTTGTTGGATAAGCGATTGCTGTAGGATAGCAATAATGGCAAATAATCTTCGGTGAAGGTCTTGAATTACATAATCTTCAGTGAATGTTTTGAATTGTGCACATACGAAAAAATTATTTTAGATGAAATAGTAAAATTCAATATAAGTCCCAAATTAATTTAGTTAAAATAGTTCGTATGGGAACGAACTGCATGTAGATTATTAGGCGAAAAACCAATTATAACTCGGCTCTGCATCACGTGATATCTTTGAGCAAGGATACATTTTTTAAAATTTAAATCAGAACTTAAATATAAAATGCGTGTCTCGCGCTCACATAATTAGCCACCGCTTGCGGTGATGCTACTTAAAGTATCAGTCAGATACAAAATTTAAAATGTGAGCTAGTAATCCAGATTTCACAGTTTAATACAAAGTTAGCTCATAAATTGAAATCACAGCAGCTATAACTCAAAGCCGAATAATTACAATCTTATTAGAGCTCCAAAAGTAAGTAAGTTGGTCTCGAAAGGCAAAAACACGCTCTGTCTTAGGATCCAAAAACTTCAGCTTATATACTTTCTAAACGCATTAACATTTCTGGTGAGGAAACGGAAAAAAGCTATATTAAAGGCTGAAATTTTAAATAAGTGGTTAATTTCAATAACAACCTTATAAGTATTGCTCTTTAGTTTCAAGGTTATGATGTCATTACTTCACAATAATTTTCGTTCTTTCGTATGCATATCTTAAAACGCTCAAAATAAAACTATAGCGTTTAAAATTATCAGCCAAGAAATCTACTGCATCATTTCAAACTTTTTCGATTTCATAAATGTATAAGCGTTTCTCTCATTATTTCATTTTAAAAGCTGATTTCCTTAGTTTTATTTTAATATGTAATATTATATTTTTATCTGGATTTAATATTCTAACAACCAAAAGTGCATCTGTTATATAGATTTGAAATTGTTAAAGGCTGTAAAACAAACACTTGACTCTCTTTCAAAACAATTATGATAAAAAAATAATTAATTTAACGTTCTTTCTAGAAATTCTTTGGAAATAGCTGCCTTTTTTACAAGCTTTTATTTTGTAGAGACATTATGTTAATTGGAAAAACCGGAGAGATTAAAAATGAGCGAACGCCTTCGCCAGGAATCGAACCACGGACCTCTCAATTACGCGCTGAGTGTGCTGACCACTACACCACGAAGGCACGCTAAAACGGCGGGAGAAATACCTTATAATTTAAGTCGCTCTTAGTGTTTATCAGTATTTACCATCTAATTTTAAACTAATTTCCGATCAGTTATCGAGCTCATATTTTCCACGCTTTGTACGTTGTGTGTGGCAATACAGTGTGATGAAGAGATTTTTTCCAAATTTGATTTAGAATATTTAAAATTTAATGGTGAAACGATTTTTCGCCCATATCTTTGTTTAGCAAACAACTAGAATTCTTGAAGTTTTGCTCTCTGAACCATCGGATAAAGCTGAAGTTTTGGAAGGAAGATATATTGATATAAATTGTGCATTTTGCTTTAAAAGTGATTGAATTGTGCAGATTTTATGCTCCAATTAAGGGTTTTATGCCTTTAGTTGATCTGTTTGCAATTGTTGTGTAATTATCAAAGATTTAAAACTTTAAGTAGCGAGTTAAGCTTAACGAATCGCCATTTGTTTAGTTTTAAAACTCAGTTTTTTAAAATAGCTATAAGTTAAGTCAGTTTCTGCGGCTTCAATGGTTTTTGCAGAGGGAGACCAAAAGTAAACTTTCAGTTTTGTGTACTGAAAAATCTGTCTTCTTGTCCGTTGGTCGAATTGCTTGTTTTTACGTAGAAACTCTTACGTAAACTTTTTACGTAAAATTAGATGGTAAATACTGATTAACACTAAGAGCGACTTAAATTATATTTCTCCTGCCTTCTTAGCGTGCCTTCGTGGTGTAATGGTCAGCACACTCAGCGCGTAATTGAGAGGTCCGTGGTTCGATTCCAGGCAAAGGCGTTGCATATTTTTAATCTCTCCGGCTTTTCCAATTAAACTAATGACTCTACGGTGGCTCCTGAACTAAAAGAGTGTTGGATGATGATTCTCCTCACCCAGGATTTGGCGATTGAGTCTCCTAAAAACCTCAGTCGCCTTTAAAAAGGGGAGTATATAAGGTATTTCTCCCGAGTTTTAGGCATGCCTTCGTGGTGTGGTGCCGTGAAGTGAAAACTAAATTAATTCAATGAGAAATGTATTCCTAATGATATTCAAGGAAATAAGTTTAAATGAAATGCAGCCAAAAATGTATGTAATTTAATAGGACGTACGATGAAGTCATGAAGTGTCCACATCAAATTTTTGTTGTTGTTTTTATTACATGTCAATGCAGTATTTCTTAAGTTTAATCTCATTCGATCTTCTTAGTTTAGTGAGCTAGGTCTATGTGATTTGTAGTAAATGTATCCCGCACTTCAAGTCACGTATTTTTAATTTTGGCTGTGTTTTAAATTATTGGAACTTTAATTGCTGATAAATGATGACCGTTTGGCGAATGTTTTGATACCAAGACCAAGGGGCACACGACTGTAAACATTCACTTACGCAACACACTTCCAGAAATGTTAACATTTAAATTTGGTGCTATTAAAAACTATATCATAAAAAGCTTGATCGCTATGGTTAAAAGTTTTCGTGTAACCGCTTAGGAGCAATATATGTTTTTCTATACTTTTCCTTCCTTTTTTAGCTTTTGTTCTAATTAATATTATTCGTCATTTTTTAAGTAACATTGAATTTCATTTTCAGATTCCTATGTAGAAATATGTTTAATGGACAGTCAAAAATCTATCGCGAAGAAAAAGACTGCAACCGCAAGAAAGACTTTGGATCCCCTGTATCAACAACAGCTCGTTTTCCCGTATGACTGTCAAAACTGCTACTTGCAGGTAATAATAACCCAGCGAATAAAATAATTTTTTAAAGACTGTACAAATATTAATAGCAAATAGCTTTCAGAAATTTGCTGTGAATATCTTTATAAACAGCTATTCGGTAGCCTAAATTATGGAAAGATAATAAAAATGAACTTAAAGCAAAATAAATGTTCTATTTTATTTATCGTTCATAAAGTAATTTCTGGTAGCTAATAATTAAATTATAAAATTCAATTTAAATTAACACTTTAATAAGACATTTAGTTGAACCGAAATAGTCGACAGTCTCCAACAGCTAAGATTGTCCCTGTCAATTGCGAAAATTCGGATTGTGGAATGAGTAAGTTAAGTAAAAACACTGAAGCTCGAGGCTAGCTCGAGCTCCTAGCTAGCTCAAGGCTAGAGCAATGAAACGTATTTGAATCGCTATTATCTAGAATTAGATCTGATATGAACAGTTTGATTTCTCATAAAAATTTCATCCAATTAAATTATCTTTACATAATTTTTGTATTTAATACTAGATTTTACTTTCTTTTGATATTTATACTCTTTCAATTTTTTATTATTAAAGCAAAAGCAGCTGATCTTACTATATTTTCGCTTCAAGTAAGAATGTTTTATCTTAAAATTAAATAACTATTGAGATCTTTATATAATCAAAGGCAAAAAATCAGTTTATTGTCATATAATTTGAAATGTCATTAGAAATCTGAGTAATTCCAGTAATTCCTTTTCCTATACTTGTGCTTACTTTACTCTGATAACAGAAATATGACTAAAATTTACAAATATAAAAATCATTTAAATTATATTTTAAAAAGGTAACCTATATTACTTAGAAACATTTAGAAAAGTCTGAATAATTTAATTCGACTTCAGATTGTGAGGTAACAATTTCCTTTGTTGAAAGGGAAATCTTCTGGGGGGGGTGAAAATCCAGGACTGGCTTATTTTTAAAATCTGTTTCCTCTTTCAGCTAAGTGGTTATTCTATAAGTAACGCGATCTTTTAAATTAAATTTTAATCCATGGCACAAAAATCACCCTTTACCTAAAAAATATTTAATTCTATTATTTAAAACTAGTTTCCAGCTCAGTCATAAATTTTCAATATCTCGGAAATAAAAACACTTATTTATTCAGGAAACGCAAAAATCTGTGTTCGGACATCATATTACGAATTCAAAATTTGCATTAAGTTGTTTGGAAGGTTTGTAAAAAATAATAATCTGACGTAACTAGTTTAGGAGAACATACTAGAAAAATAACGTGCCTTCCAAAGTTTCTTAATATTGGCAGCGTTTCTTGGGCTGTGTGAAACTGTACGTTGTTATAAAGAAAGCATTTTGTCACTCTATCAATCAGTGCAAGTTCGGGTTTCATCAACAGCTTGTTCTAATTGCGTCAATTGTTCACAGTAGATCTCTTTAGTAAGTCTTTTATTTTCAAGAAGAAGCATTTCATAGTAGATAAAATGCCTTCTACAATTTCTCACAACATTTTGAGATGGGCAAATCTACCATGTTCAATGCTAGAAATCTGTTCATATTGCTGTGAGCTGCGGGATCCTTGATGTTCCTTTAAATAAATGGCTACAGATAAGGAAGAATAAATAGGCCATTTATTATTAAAACAGCCCCAGCAAACAACGCACACAAAAAAACGATAGCTGACAAATAACTCAGAGTGTGGATATTTAGCAATTCCTCCTTAGCATACGAAATAAACTGTCAAGTTCCTCAAATCATTCTCATGGTAAATCCTATTTCGTAGTTCAGCTAACCGCTGTCTAAAGGACCGTTCCCACTGGTTCCCACTCCAAAACCAGTTCTTTTCCATAGGGAGGCAAGTTGAAAATATGAACTGCGTGTACAGCGGAGCTAGTCGACATATGGAACTGACTCCGTTAGCTCAGATAAGCCCCAGTTAGAAAGCCCCTTTACAGCTGATTCGCAACTAATTCACAACTGAACTCCCTTACTCCACCTAGCACGAGATTATCGAGTATTTTACTCGATGTGCTCCGGCTCAAGAAAGTAAGGCCTCCATGGGCGCCAAATAATAAAAATTCCTGATCAGAGTCTACTTCCATGTCTTAGCCTAAAGTTAAAGAAATGTTTGGAAAAGCAAGTCAGTAAAATTGAAAACATAGGTTTAGATAATGCTGTTCCTAATCACAAAACAGAATGGAAAGTGAGTATAGTGTCCACTATAATCCAACTTTGCGCTGGCAAATGTTCATAGTCACGTTATAGATTGCAGTGGTGAAGTCCGCTTGTAGCTTCTTGGGATGCAGAAAAACACAAATTCTAGTCATAATTACAGAAGTAGAGGTTAAACTTTAAAGAAATATGTATACGTCAATATATTATGTAGCACGGGCTCTGGAAACGTCTGGAGTTAGCAGAAAACTGACAAATGCTGCCGGCCTAGTGATAAAAATTGTCGCATAGGCCACCTAAGTGCGAAAATAATTAATTCTACAACTTTTAAATTGTTGATAATTCTACAACTATTGCATTCAGATTAACTAATGACATAAAAACCTTAACCGAAACAAAATAACAAAATATTTCAATCCCTTTTGAAACAGAAAATGCAAAATTTACCAACATATAAGAAAACAAAAGAAACAAAAAAAGGAAAGCTCATCGAGTCGTATAAGAGAGCAAACGAGCGTGTATATGTATGTGTGTGTGTGTGTGTGTGTGTATTCTTAAAAAAGGAAGTATGAAGAAGAGATTAAATTTGAATGAAGCCATTCCGTGTTAGTGATCCCCATTTCCCACACATTCATCAAAACACACATGTACTTTCAACTCAACTAAATAAATGAAAATACCGATATCAAAATAAGAATACTTCACAAATTCGAGAAAAGATACTTAACTCATAAAAACGGAAAATTACGTAAAGGTAACAACAAGACACATTCGTGTAATACTTTCTAAGGCAAATTTTCTTTACTCTGCATATACTGAATCTTTCATCTTAGTTTACTCAGTTTCGGATATTTAACATTATTAGTTCCTTATATTTAAGTCCTTAACCAGTTTTCACGAACTGTGCATGAAAAACAAGGAAATATTTTTAATCTTACTTTTAAACTTACTTAAATAGAAAAGGTGGTTTATACCACTGAAAAAACTCTGACACCCCTTGTGTATAACACATTATTTGTTCTATTTCCGTTTTGTCGATTGTAATCCACAATAAGCAGAAGTTGATAAATCAGAGTCATTTCCTTTACTGAAGATTCAGATTCAGAAGTACTACAGCTCGAAATCCGTGACTGATTGAAGCCATATTTGCCTTCTCCTAACAGCCACCGGTCTAGCTCTCAATTTTTATTACATATCATACAAGTATCTGAAGTCATGTTTTACTCTAGCTAAGTCATTTAATAAATATAACAAAAACATAATATTTAAAATAACAAAAATTAAATATTTGGTATAAATCACAACCAAACTAAAATTACAATTCATTATATTAAAAATACGATAGAAATTAAACAAAGCTGCACAGGCTTGCTAAATAAGAAATCTGAGAATTCTAGAAATATTAAAATTCACAATCAGGAAAATGTTGTTTAAAACGGCTCAGTTAAGGGCGCTTTGTCAGAAAATGCAGTGTTTGAAAAGTTAAGTTATTATAATTAATTAAGGTAGATATATAGAGAAATTATTATTCTCGAAAATTCTTTAATATGTAGACAAGCAGTTTGAGTAGGTAGAGTTTATATAGCAAAATTCAAGCATGTATCAAATTTAATAGAAAAGGTAATTTATAACCCTGAAAAGAATCTGACACCTTAGTGATGTAAATAACAAATCATTCTTTGCTATAGACATCGCGTCCACAAAAGCCCTTACCCAACCTTTACTTTTGCAACCATTTAGTTATTTCTAACTAGCAAAATGTTTTAAATGATGCAAATATTCGTATTTTGGCATGTAAAAATACCAGTTTAAAAATATTACTAAATCTAATGTTTTATAAGATCTGCTCGGTTACTATACTTACATTCAAGAATATTTTATACTCGTGTTAAAAAATAAAAACAAGAATAATAATAAATTTGGCTTCCGTATGACAAAAATAGACCCAGATATTGTTTCAAAATTTGGGGTTTTCCCCCTTAAATATAATTTATTGATATTCTTTGGGATTTCTGACGTTTATCATTTTTGATTTAAAACTTTGTTACAATTACCATGCCGAACGAATTCTCCTGCAAGTAATTCGTAAGTTTTCAGAATATAAAATTAGGTTATTGATTCCTTAAATTAGAAATATTTTAAATTTTTAATTTATGTAAATAATTTTAAGAGTTGGCTATGTGCCAAATCTAAAATCTGCCAGGATTTCCCAAAACACGAGTACTGCAAGATTTTGTGAAAAAGAACTGTTTTCTGAAAACATTATGCTAATCAACACTTTTTGGGACAATTTGCGTGTTAATTCTCGTCTCCCTCACTATAAATGACCAGGTACTTTTTTCTAAACTGATGTTTTATTTTTAGCTACGTACAAAAGCAAACATTTATCTCTTCTACTTTTTACGATCTCTGAATATGCTCTCCAACCTTTAAAATAATCAGTTTTTGCCGTTCAGAGGTCATGCTTCTTGTATTTTAACTTCTATAATAAGTATTTATAGGGATTTTTGAAACGCATAAACAGTTAGATTTCGTAATTTTAGTTTGCAAAACTAACCTTTTTAAATTAAGAAATTTCAAAACATGAATACATGCGACATTTAAACATTTATGTCTGGGAAGTATGTTTTACAACCAAAGGTTTCGAAACTAAAAGCCGGATAAAAATTTTGGGGACCCGATGTATGAAGGGTTGGATCATGACAATAACTTTCTTGTCTTATCTTATTACCGAATGTTTGAATCAAAAGTCATTGCTTAGAAAGTAAATTAAAAGTTTCTGCCTCTAAACAAAAAAAGAGCAGCTATACATAGGATTTATGCTTTTCTAATTTTTGTTTCATTTATAGGTTATGGTTTGGGGAAATTATGATGGTATGAAGCAACCAAAATTCATGGGAGTGGCACAGATTCCTCTGGACGACATTCACTTGGAGAAGGACGTAATAGCTTCGTACAAGTTGTTCCATCATTTCTCACTGGTCAACTGACTTAAAACTAATTAGTCAACTAACTTGACCTCAAACTAACGCCGCTGTTCCTCTCTCTAGATAGTTTGAGGTGAAAGGAAATGTCCTCAGATATTTCTCCGTGAAAGTTAAAGAAAAACATTCTTTATTTCCATACAATACACATCTACGTGTATTCCAAGAATAATTATCTGTGAATATGTGGGCTGATTATTATGAACGACTTCCTGATTCCCTTATATGATGCAACTCGATGGCACATATCATTGTATATTCCTCTGGAAAAGATTTTACCAAAACTCTTTCAAGATGGTTCTATTGCGTTCCATTTCATTTCAGCATAGTGGGACGCCAACACTTTAAGACATTGATAAACGCAGTTGCTGGTACGCAATAATTTGAAGCGATGGATTTGTTGTGATGGAACAGTCCATTTGCGACCGGGACCGCCGGATTTACAAAGCTTCGATTACCTCTTATGGGTACATATGAAGATCCTTGCGTAGAAAAATGTAGTTGACTTTTTTAAAGACCAATAAGTATGCTATACGATTAGGCAAATGACTTTTAATCCGCTTGTAGCGTTTCAAATATTACTAATGAAAGTGAATTGGAAGTATCCAACAGAAGACGTGACTCTGACCAACACTTAACATAGGAGTTGTTTACTCTGCCCGAGTAGCCAATGTCTTTAACAGCAATTGCTCTAAAATACAAGATAGCGCCGAATAAAATGCCGGAAAATACCACGTTAAAGCGAGATGTATTTGCCAGCTTAGTACAACAAATTCCAGAAGATAGGCAACTTGCGACTTATTGTAGACTATCTCAAACCTCAGACGTATTGCAGGGTTTAAAGACGACTGCGAAATTCCATGTTTTGCAACTATTCTTTTTTTCTGATTATTGTACGGAAGTTCATTTTCCTTTTTCCAAAAAATAATGTTCTGAATGTTCTTAAAAAGAAGGAAAGTTCAGGGATTGTTTTGCTGTGTAACTTCGTATATATTTAGAATCATTGTCATCTTTCCTGAAAATAATTTCTCATTATTTCTTAATTTAAATTCATTACACAGTTTCAGGAGCTTATTAAACATGTACACACTAACATTTCAAGGAACAGAGTTTTATTTATAGATTTTTCTGTTAGATAACGGTAGCTAAAAATCTCCCTTGCTAAGGTAGTTAGCTAAAAATCGGTTTTGTAGTGTAAAGTAACTCTATGATCCTGTAATTAATAAACTTGATTTTGACTCTGGGGTTTGCTGTGTCCTTTACATGAAAAATAAATTCCAAAATGCATGTGAAGTGATGATGACGCACAGTACTGTGACACACCAGAGCTCAAACATGCGTACTAGTGTACTATTGTTACCTTCAGTAATCAGGTCATGAATGCATACGTGCCCGTTATAAGCCAAACCAGTAACCAAACAGAGGAGATAAAAATGCTTACTGCAAATTCTTACTACGTATCATGCATAATATTTGCATGCTTCTTAATTTGCACATTGCTTAATGCTATAAATATACTGGCTGAAGAATCGGTACTGTCAATGGTCAGAAATTATTTGATACACTTTTCGTTGGGCACACATACTTCTCCACTAGATTTGCTTCGTTCTTTTTCTATCATTCACCCTATTATCATTAGTTTCGCGTTAACCATATTACCCTCATTTCATCGCTTTGTTGAAAAATGAAAGAATGATATTTATTTCTACTATACCTTAGAAGTAGTAGAATAATATTGCACAGTATAAAACTGTAGCAATATATATTTTATTTTAAAGAACAGCATATAATATAGAGTAGAACACAATTTACCATGTATTCCGCTTATAAAGCGCACCTATAATTGCAAACTACGTATTTTAATTTTTAGCTACATCCTTCAAGTAACGCACACCCAGTTCTTAACGAATAAACCAGCAATGTACATAGGCGATGCTCTTATATCTGAAGTCATTCATTCGAAGGTTTTTCCCCAGGCTTTCAAACAATGGTGTATTAAACTGGCAAATAATAAGTGAAGCAATATGTGCTCTGGGAAAATACTTGAGGGAGTAAATGATTCTACAAACCGTGCGGGTTGTATTCAATGCAGCCGTGTACAATAATGTTATTCTAGATTTTCGAGAAAAGTGGGCCACAGTTTGAGGCAATATTGCACTTTCGACGCGAATGAATTTTCAGAATTAACAGTCAGATGTTTTCTCTTTCTCCAGTCATTTGAAGTCATGAGTGTGCAATGAACACCGAAGGATTTAGTAAATCACATTTGCTTTGGTTTCAAAGGTAAAGTCATTCCATTTGCAAAAGGAAATGGAAGTTCTGTTGCAACAAGTGTACATGGTGCTGTCCATACGTGATTCGGAGAAACTGAAATCACAATAGTTAATATGCCAAAGAATGAATGTGTTTTGCTTAAAGGAAGTAAGAGGATGAAAGAAGAAAATGATATCCTAGAAGAAAGTACTGCGAACAGGGTCTTAGAAAATCTCCAGAATGGATTAATTATAGCAAGGATCAGCGTATCTTAATTTTCTTTGTAAGGGGCGAAAAAAATGCAAATGAAAGTTATAGAGTCATTAGGATTTTTGAAGCAGGAAATGTGAAAAATGAGCAATGTCCTCCCCGGGACTCGAGCCTGGACCCTTCGAATACGCGCCGAGTGTGCTACCGTGACACCACGAAGGCATGCAGAAAGGAGGGAGAAAATGCCTTTCATTCTCCCCCTTTTAAATGGCGACTGGGAATTAGGCGACCCATTCGCTAAATTCTGGTGGTGAAGAATCATCATCCACTACCTTTTAGTTTGGGCGCCACTGTAGAAGCATTAGATATTTTTGACGCAAGAGACATGAAACATTGAGCAGTGCCCTCGAACCTGGACCTCTCTACCCGCCGATGTGCTACCGTTTCACCACGATGGCATGCAGAGAAGAAGAAGAGAGATACCTTATAAAGTGAAAATTTTAAAGCAACTTTTAATTGTTGTAGTCGATTTATGGTGCAGAATGAAAGTTATGAAAAAAAACAAAAGTTTTGCATAGGCTTCCCGAAGATTCGGACACCAAATGAATATGTTTCTAGAAGTATGTTATTTACCTACAAAAGGAAGAAAAAATTTACTCCCACATGTTGGAAATATGAATAAATCTCCAGTAATATTTGATATGATAGGAAATTAAACAATCGCTGTGAAAGTAACAAAAACGGTTCACAGGAAAACAAGAGGTCATGAAAATTCTTATCTCACTGTAGTGCTTTCCTGTTTGATGGGCAGCTGAAAATCCTTATTTTTTTTTTTTTTTTAAGTTGATGCCGAAATTTAATTTCCCTATAAGTTCTTTAGTTTAAGTAAATACAAAAGATATTTAATATAACTTGTAAGTGGCAACGATATTCACGTTCTGTTTATTGTTGTTCCTCCTTAACTTTACGCATTAGAATGTTTAGTTTTGTTATAGTTTGCGTGTTAAGGGTTTATGCATTTTAATATCAGCTCTTTAGTTTTAAATAAATATAAACGATATTTCATTAATATAACTTGTAATTGGCAACAATATTTACGTTCTGCTTATTGTTGTTCTGAAAAGAACATTCTTTAAATTTAAGCATTAAAATGCGGGATTCTCTCGACTTTCCATGAATAATATATGCCGCAAATAAACATTTTCATTTGAGAATATTTTATATGTCTTTGTAGAGCCTGAGGTTCAAAAGTAAATAATTGAGGATCAGAAAATTTGGCGAATTTTCAGATTTCATCTTGGCGTCTGATACAGGATTTTGAAAAGTTAACCAACTCATAGTTATCTATTAATGAAGGTTTAAATGATGTTTTTATCAGTGAAATATATCAAGAAAGAAGATTTAAAACTTGAGGCAGAAGAAATTGGCGAAGTAGTGCCACTATTAACAAAAATATCCGATTGAATTATAATCGTTTTAAATAGCAGTAAGAATAAAAGTAACTCATCTTTTGAAAGGAATTTTAGGAAATATTTTTGACGACAAAATCAAGAAACAATATCATTAATATCAAGAAACAATATCATGAACTGAGTTAGAGAAAAAGTAACATGATAGTAAATTTAGAAAATCAGATCAAGAATTTGATTTACAAGAAAAGGAACAAAATAAAAAATATAAGCTAGAGAAAATCGATAGAGTGAAGAAAGAAGATCAAGACTTTGAGTTACAGAAATTAAACTAAACAATGAAGCGGGATTTGCAAGAATACAAGCTCAAAACTAAACTACAATATTTGAGCCAATTTTTAGAAACGAAACTAGTAGTTCAAAGAGAAGATTTACTTTGCCTAAATTACAGTTTAGACACTTAAAAGAACAGCAGCCCTTTTGGTATTAGTTTGAACATACTAATTAAGAGGAGGATATTCTTCCTGAAAAACAAATTCCAATATTTAAATCAAACAACTGTCCTTGGTTCCAGAGCAAGAAAGGTAATAGAAAGTTTCCCATGAACCAAATTATGCAAAGACTGTAAATAATTTGAAAGCTTGTTTCGAAAGAAAGAATATTTTGGCGAACATATATGTCGGAGAAATGTTGAAATTAACCATCTAGCCACAAATATTTTCTAACATACCTCTACGACAAACTTGAATCTTATTTCCTACCTCTTGAAACACTGCGAGTTACAAGGGAAACATAATGAAGAGTACAAATGCGTCTATTCTATATTTTGTGCATCTATTCTTGATCCAATAGCGAAATCATGCTTTGATGAGAACTTTCTATAAGCTTGTAAAAAAACCCTTCCTCCAGTTCTGTAAAGGATGCAGAGGAACGCCGAAATAACGTGTTCTCATTCTTCTAGGCGAAGTGGAGTGAGAGGAAAGAATGTTTATATGCCGAGTTTGTTTAACTAGTAACGAAGATAGGAAGACGCTCAGAAAAAACAGTAAAATTTGGAACCACAAAGAGGCAAAATACCAATGACTTCCACTAAAGAACCTGAAAGCAAGACGCGTATTTTTGAAGGCAAGAATA